TGTTGATTTTATATCCTGCCACTTTGCTGAATTCATTTATTAGTTCTAGTAGTTTCTTTGTAGACTCTTTTGGGTCTTCTAGGTATAGAATCATGTGGTCCGCAAATAGTGATAATTTAAGTTATTCTTTTCCTATTTTTATGCCTTTAATTTCTTTTGTCTAATTGCTCTGGCTAGTATTTCAAGGACTAAATTAAATAGAAGTAGTGAGAGAGGGCATCCCTGTCTTGTTCCAAATTTTAGAGGGAATGCCTTCAACTTTTCTCCCTTCAGAATGATGCTAGCCTGAGCCTTAACATAGATAGCTTTTACAATGTCATGGTAAGTTCCTGTTAACCCTAGTTTTTCTAATGTTTTGAACATAAAGGGATGCTGTACTTTGTCGAATGCTTTTTCGGCAACTATCCAGAAGATCATATGGTTCTTATCTGTAAGTCTATTGATGTGGTGAATAACATTTATTGATTTCCGTATATTGAACCAGCCTTGCATCTCAGGGATGAATCCTACTTGATCATGGTGCACAAGTTTTTTGATGTGTTTTTGTATTTGATCATTCACCTCTTTTGTTAGACTGATTCCCAAGTAATTTTTTTTTTCTTTATTGAGGCTATAGTGACTGGGATAGTTTTCCTAATTTCTCTTTCAGTGGATACATCACTGATGTATAAGAACACATTTATGGGTGTTAATTTTTGTATTCTGCTACATTGCTGGATTCATTTATTAGTTCTAGAATGTCAAATACCAGTTTTAAGACTTAAAAAACAAAAACAAAACAAATCCCCACAAAACCTGCCTTAGTTGGTCAGAGATATGGTAAACATTTATTATTACCTGATTGGCCAATGAGTATTCAATTAAAAAAAAAGTTATCCTCAAACACATTACTGAAAACTTTCTTTTCATTTATGTTCTTTTGTTGTAAATGCTAATTTTCTCTTTTGATTCATTTTCCTGAAGTTCTAAATACACTTTAGAAGGTTAGAATAGCATATAAATTACTGGGCTGATAATCTCAAGGATCTATATCAATATATCCTTTAACACCAGTTATACTAAGAGTAATCACAAACCAAGCCAGATATATATCAATCCGATTTCAAGCCACATTTTAGACTTAAAAGATCCATTGAGCCTTTGCACGAGAATTTCTTCCTCATAGTCTCCAGCCCCAGTATGATAGTCTGCATTATATTCTCACATTTTCTGTGTCCAAGATTTCGATTTAATTTTCATATGTCCTTATTTTTAATATCACTACATACTTTAAATCTTCATAGTGGACACTAAAGGTCAATAGTTGTAGTGTAACAGTCCTCTTAAAAATCTCTTCTCAGTATGGGGATATAGCTCAGTTGGTAGAGTGCTTGCCTTGCATGCACAATGGCCTGGGTTCTAATTCCCAGCAACACACACACACACACAAGCACACATATATTTGTTCTCCTTTTCTTTCTGGTCGCACAGCTGCTTATCTAAAAACAAAGTTTTCTAGCCTCTTCAATAGTGATCTGTGACCATGTTAGTAAATTCTCAAGAACTAAATATGAATGAAATCAATTAATGCTTCCACACCTCTGGCTTTATAAAGATCTACCATTTCAATTTTTTTCCAAGCTAAAATGTGATTATAAGGACACATTTCAGTCAGGTCTACTGTGACAGGGCAGTGGAATTTCAAAATGCAATATTTCAGACTCCCTTACAGACATATTGAATCAAATTCCTGGGGTAAGGCCCAATAATCTGTGGTTTTAAGAGTCTCCCAAAAGATCCTCTAGAAAACCACCAAGATAAAGGAATTTATCAGCATAACAACTTTGTATTATTTATGATTATTTATTATTTAGTCCTTATTCCATAGGACTAAAATTCATGCTGTTGGCAATAACACTGTAGATTGTCAGTGGGGAAAACTTTTCTGAAAGCCCTCTAGGTGATTCTATGATGCACTAAGTGTTGAGTGTCACTGCCCTATTCCCTGTACTTGCACTCGACCACATGCCTTGCCCTAAATCAGATTATTATTGCAAGAAACTATCTTACTTAAACCATTATTACTAAGCATTTATCCCAATATAGTGGTTAATGAAAGAGCCTGTAATCAAAATTGTGTATTCTAAGTCTAGCTTCACTATTCAGTAAATGTTGAATTTTCCCCCAATAAAAATCTTAGCTATCAAGGCTCACCTTACATAACAGCCTTCCACATTCCCTTGCCTAAAATGGCTATTAATGCAGCTATCTAATTGTTGAAGTTAAAGAATTAAGTGTGTAGAATTTGCCACAAAGACTAAGCCAATGATCTGGGAACGGGTATCTAAAACATTGATACATTGTTTGTATCAATGTTCTAGCCCCATAACCATACTATAAAACTAAGTTAGAGAAGAAATTTTTCTACCTGAAAAGATTCCCTATTTTTACGCTGTCGTCTTCTTTCTCTTAGCAAACTCTTCTGTTTTTCTTCTTCTTCTTCCTTTTCTAGAGCTCGAATATGCTCTTCAAAGCAAATTAATGCATCTTCTTTGTCCATGTCTAAAGTGTTTTTCAGATAAAAATAAAAATTGCAAATTATAAGAAAAGCAGTTTAACTATTTAACACTCTACAAATTTAAAATTCATATTTAAAAATAACTGTTTTTACAATCAAATATGATTTATCATTGTAATGAAGTTTCAAAGAGAATTTCAAAAAGAACTCTATTATTGTTATAGTGTTTATTATAAACAATGAAGATGAAATAGGACACCTAATGACAAAATTAATAAAAATAAAATAATTATGCAACACATGCCAGAAATACCAAAAGTACCCCAGAAGCTTTGCTAGGAGCCATGTCACTTTATCAACAGTGTACATTATAGGAAATAGGTCACAAGTTGATTTCATCACTGTGCGAACACCATAGAGTATACCTACACAAATTAAAGAAGACTACAACATCACTATGCAAGTTAATTCTTTGGGATCACCACTGTTAACAAATATTATACAATGGGTGATTATACAAAACTCTAGGCCCTACCAAAAAAAAAAAAAAATCAGTGAAGCATGATTTTCAGGCGGACGGAAGAAAAAGCTGTAATTTGAAAAGCAACTCAATAATCCAGAAAAGGTACTTGATGAAACCAATTGTGAAAAAATTTTTGCTTTTTGTGAAACACTCAAGTTACTACCCTGGCTAGCATGGGTGAGGCCTTGGGTTTCATCCCCAGGACCACATGCACAAAAAAGTTATTATATCAATAAGACAGTATAAGTAAAATGGGGCAATTTGCATTCAAATGCCAAATTACACATAAAAAACTAAGTACAATTTCAAGTTTGACTCATGATTTGCATATTTCAAGAAATCTTCTGTTAAAGGTAACTTAGATTATGAAAAAAAAATTTATCTTAAATCACAAACTTAAATGTAAGGAAATATCACACTTGAATATAAATAAAACACTTTTTTCAGTAAGAAACAATTCTTTAAAACTAAGTGATCTCATGTAAAAAGTGAGAATCATTTTTTGTTAATGCAGAACATTGTTTAAAAACAATTTTCTCATTACTGATTATTCTTACTCTGTAACTCCTCATCTTCTGCAAAAGTTGGATTATCCATTAGATACTGCTGTGCTTCAGACCAAGTTGTAGAATATGTTACATTAGCCATGTTGTCAAGTATGTTTTTTAATGCTTCCCAATTTCTTTTTCGCAACTGCTTTGCTTGTTCCTACAACAAAAGTAAGAATAAACTTACTTAAGTTTAAAGTGATTGCAATTAATGAAGATTTCTTTTTATTCTGATGAATCAATTTCAAACATTATAAATTTGTTTTAAATAATGATACTACTTATTTTGCCAGTGTTCTTGTATATGTGCCTGGCTTGTACTTAACTGCAAATTTTTCACTTCTCTTCAAAATCAAAATTTGGGAGCCATGTTTTTATTTTTTAATCCAACACCCCATAAACTTTCTTCCTACCACTATACATTAGAGACACAGTGTGAATCTATAACTAATGTTACTGTGGATGAGTCACATAGTGGTATAATGCTAAGGTCTTCACTGATGTTCAGATATGTTCAAAGTTGCAATAATACTGGCTTTTACGTATGTTTCTTTACAATTGGATTATACAAAATTAATTAATGTAATACTGAATTAATTTAATACTGAATTACCCCAATATTAAATAATGAAAAAGAAATGTATAAAGCAAGTGTTTTAAAACACTATCTTCCAAGTTCCGTTTAATAAAAACAACAGCAAATAATTGTCATTCTTTCAACAACCATAAGAGAATTATAAGCAAGAAAACTGAGTACTTCTGAATGTGACAAGGCTAAAAAAAAAAAGTTATTTTTCAATAAGGCAGGCAATTAATGGCAAGCAATCAATACCTTGATTTCATCAGCACTTATAATGTTAGAGAAAGGGAGATAAAGAAGCTTATTTTTATGGGAGCAATCAATTCTATAATTAAATTTAACTTTTAATAACTAGATCTTTCACACTGCATAAAGTGAACAAACTACTTGACAGAATGGATATATAAAATGACATACTCTGAGTGAAGAAACTTTTTTCTATAAATACATTAAATAAAGAATAAATAATACCTTTTCTTTTTTCGACAGAAAGAACAAAACATCTTCATAGATTTCAAGACGATCACGTTCTGATATTGCATTCCAGACTTCCATCTCTCCAAACATTTGTTCTGCCTTTCTATTCATTAAAAAAATGATATTTTTCATCATAATGTGAAAATTTTGAATCATTTTCATATTAACCTAAATTTAAACCCACTAAAATGAATGCTTTTCAATCTAAGTTCATAACTGTATGTAATTAAGTGGATACATAATACCTTTTGGGCAATGCACTGTACTGTACACTGTCCTATATCACTTAGGGTGCTCATTAAAAGTTATTAGAAATTTGGTTAACACAGAAAATGTATCAACTTAAAAGAAATTACAGATGTTCACTCAGATTTTTCTAGAATACTGAGAAAAACAAAGAAGCATATAGGGGAAATAAGCTTACAAATTTATTGCAGAATTTTTTTAAATACTTTTTTTAGTTGTAGTTAGATACAATACCTTAATTTATTTTTATGTGGTGCTGAGGATGGAACCCAGCACCTCACACGTGCTGGAAAGTGCTCTACCACTGAACTACAACCCCAGCCCTTATTGCAGAAATCTTAATACTGAATTACCCCAATGTTAAATAATAAAGAAACATAAAATTGTGTATTTCTAATATACAAATATAAAAAATTTCCATTTTTATGAGTAAAATGTAATAAAGTTTGACTAGTAAATAAAACTGAAGTAGGTAAAATGTGATAAAGCTTGAACTCATTCATTCTTTCCCTTTTCTTCCATTCCTAAATGATAATTAAGGCTACAAGTTAAGATCCACAAAACTGATATATCTTGTACCTTATACAACTGCCACATTCAGTCATCTAGCTTTATTGAACAGCATCTACTTTATCAGTTACTGCACTGAGCAAAAATATAAAACACTGTAGTAAACACATTCCATACATCATTAAGAATCTTACTTATATCTGGTTGTGGAAGTCATTTTCTCATGATTTTCAAGAAAACGCTGGAAGGATTCCTTAGCCTCTTTATATTTTGATCTTGCTTCTTCTTTTTCCTCTTTCTCTGTCTGGACTTTATAGGCATTAAAGGCCTGCTTTTTCTCACTCAACTTTGCTAAAGCACTAAACAATAGAAAAATACCATATAAGAGTAAATAAAAGCAGGAGAATCAAATTAATGCTTTGCTAAAACTACAATGTATTCACACATAAATTTAAAAAGTTCATAATTTATCAAAGAGAAGAAATAATCCTAGAAAGTAATTTCTAGTTTTGAAATAACTCTAATTTAATTTGTAGCAGGGTGCTCAAATTTTATGACAAATCTTTTGGATTTTTGGTTCAAGAATGGATCCAAAAGCATATACATAAAAGGTTTCTTTTGTTTAAAAAGTTGTACCATTTCTCAAAGCCCACCTCAACAACTTAGCAAGGCCCTAGGCAATTCCACCCAATTTTAATCTTAAATATGGTAGTCCCACATTGCTCAAAGTGAAAAGTAAATGAAAAATTGAAGTATTACCTATATCGAGGATCATTAATGATCATTTTCATAGCTTGCTCCCATGAAGCATTGGATGGTACCCGCTGAAAACAGTGAAAAATGAAAATTTCTCATAAGTATAGAAAAGTCATACAACTAGGAACCAAGCCTAATATTCATTATAAATGTCAAGTACTGCCTTTAAATTCAAAAGTTTCTTATTGAAGGAAAATTTGTGCAATACATCTAATCACCTATTGACTTACAAGAAAACTTTAACTGAAATTTAAACAAGGTACAATTTCTACTGGTGATAAAAAAATAAACGATTACAAATAAATCTGATATTTATTATTGTGGTAGCTGGGCACAGTGGTGCATGCTTGTAAACCTAGAGACTCTAGGCTGAGGCAGGAGAATTGAAATTTTGAGGCCAGCCTTAGCATCTTAGTGAAACCCAGTCTTAAAATAACAAATTTTAAAAACCTGGGAATATTGCTCAGTGGTAAAGCACCCCTAGGATCAATCCCCAGTACTGCAAACAAACAAACAAAAAAACCCCACATTTAGTTTATTTTTAGTTACAACACTTCATGAGATTAGTATCTTCAATCAAGGGATCAAGGTGATTAAACTCCATGAACTAGGCAATTATTACATGTCACATAAAAAATCTATAATAAAAATACCTTTTCTTTCAATAATTCTTTAAACGCTTGCTTTGCTTCTTCTTTTGTATTCCAAGTATATGTTTTTTTTGCTGGTTGACTCTCCTCCTCCTCTTTTTTGGGAGTAAAACTGAAATGAAATTAAAATGTGATATTGATAACTGAATAAACCATATGCACCACTTAGACAAATTCCTTAATATTTAACAGATGAGTGAAAATTTGATAATTTTTGAATAAAGTCTCCTATAAGTATCCTGGAAACATACTTATCTAAAGACAGAGAAATAAAGGTAATAGTTTCTGTAATAATCTTCAGTTATCAATGCTGTACAAATACCAAATTAAAACATTTAATTGTGCTAAAACACTAGCTTCACTAGTCTATAGATTAATACTTTTTAATGGCATATTTAACTTATTCAATGGTTTTATAATTAGTGCCTTAATAACATGACATCTGGATAAGTGTGCATAAATTTTATGCTGAGAACAGATTAGTCTAAATCAATACTGGCAAACTATGATCCATTAGCCAAATCAAATCCACTATTAATTTTGGCAAATAGGATTTTACTAGGAAACAACCTGTAAACGAATGGTCATTAGTTTATATATTGGTAATGGTTGATTTTGTGTTACAACAGCAAAGTTGAGTCAAAGACTGTATAATGCAGAAACTCCAAAGATTTATCTTTTAATATTCTATGAAAAAATTGACTAAATACTGATCTCAAACAAAAGAAATGAAAATCAAGAATTATCAACTGTACTTGTATGAGGGTCATTCTGAAATGAAAAAACTGTTAAGTCTTACAATTTAGTCCTATGTGAAAATAAATGAATGCAGAAAAAAAAACAACCTTAAGTAAAATGCTTAGAGGAAGAGACACTAAAGTGGATATTAATAACAACAGAAAAATACAAACATGGTCTCTGAATTAAGCTGTCTCACTTTAGGAGATCTATTGTATTTTCAACTGTCAAAACAGATTGTTAAAAGCCCAGTGAAAAAAGAACAGGTAGAAAAGATCTACTAAACAGTAATTAAAATCAAGTTTATTATAATGCTCAAGGCACTATGATGAGGTTCCGGAAAGAAAAAAGGCAGGAAATTGTTAATATTATAAAAAAGTAATTAATACTCAGTCCTCTGCATCCAGATTCAACCAACCATGGTAATAAGTACATCATAAATGATAATATACCATTGTTTGACATGATTAAGTGTATATCTTCATTGATATGGAATGATAGAAATATCTGGCATATATTTTACATATACAGAAGAGGGCAGAAAGATAAACAAAAAGCTAATTTCCTTTTTATTCCCAAAAATATATGATGCAGATTTCTTTTTCATCTTCTAAACATCAAAAAAAAAAAAAAGCTATTTTTATTTTGATGAACTAATATACAAGAAACAAAGAACACTTAGAATAAGAGGCAGAGGGGTAAAAGCAATACATTTTAAATATTAAGATACATAATCATGTTTTCATCATAAAATGATGGCTAATTTTTATACATATTTACCTCCTAGAAGAAGTTTAACTTCACTACTGTGTTAGAGTTTGGTCATATAAAATATCACTAGACCGTAGGGTATGCAAGCACACCCAAGAACAGCTGGGCTTTAATAACTAAAAAGCTATAATAATTTAGTCTAGTCAAGAGTGATATTAGAGTTTGCTTTCTGTCCTGCTGTAACCTTTTCTGTCTGCTTGGTTTTTGCCTACATAGTAGAAAATAGTCACAATATTATTTTAGTGTTTTCTTATTATTATGGCTAGGTTCATTTTAATATGCTTCCTGGACAACTGAATTTCTTTGTAAATTGTTTTATCTTATCTGTTATGTATTTTTCAACAAAACTATTCAGATTTTTTATTGTTACATACTCATACATGCAAACAATGTAACAATATAATTTGACTGAGATCACTACCCTGCACTCCCCCCCCCACCACCTCTTCCCAGTCACCCTTGGTTCCTTTTCCTCTATTCTAGGATCTCCTTTTGATTTTGTAATATTTGTATTATTAACATGTATTTGTAGGAATCTGAAAAACCAATACCACCAAATAAGAAACAACTTTAGCACTAATCTATTTGGCAGGGCTTCTATAGCTGATTTCTTTGTTTAACATCAAATATTTTCCTTACAATGCTGTGCTAAGAAGTAAGAGAACAAGGCAATAGGAAGGGGTGGGGGGAAACCCAATCATTCCGATACCCTTTACTAAAATGCTAGTATTATGTTAAACAAGGAATTTTGCATTGATTTTGATTTCAAATACTACATACAAATGCTTGGATTCTTTGAATTTGTATCTCACCCTATTAGCTCACTTCCTAAAACTTCAGGGGACTAGTTTTACAATAGTTTGGTGGCATGACACACCCAAAATTCAGTCTCAATATTTATCAACTAATACCTTATGATTCTTAAAATTTTTACTTAAAACATGGCCATGGACTTAACTGGTAATCTCTTATATTAAGTCTGGTACTGATTTTCAGAAATCACTACACTTACTCAGTTATAGTTTCTTGCTTAGAAGTTTCTTCTCCAGTATTACTGGATACTTCAACACTCAGATCTTGAATAGCAGAGGTATTAGTAAGTTGTGCTTGTTCTTCAGTGGATATAGTTACTGTATTTTCATTATCTACAACAGTAGCAACAATGGAAGTAACTTCAGGTTCAGGAACAACTGGAACAGTTCCCACAGTATTAGTAGTAGAAGTGGAAGAATTGGCATTGGCTGCAGCAGCAGCTGCCGCAGCTGCAGCTGCCGCTGCAACAACAGCAGCTGCTGCTTCGGCAGCAGCCATGGTGCTCATTGTGGTGGGAATTTCTGTTGTAGGAACTGGGGCTGTTGATGTTGTGGTGCACTCTTCTTGCTTGCTACATATTAAAAAAAAAGAAAACTGGTCATTTTATTACTGTAAGTAAAAAGCTAAATAAAGCCAGTTTTTAAATTATTATAACATCAAGTGAACAAGAGAAATGACCGAAGGGCCCTAAAAACCAGTAATACAATAGTAAGGCATTCTACTAGATTAAAACCACAGAATGACACAGTCTTAATTTCCTCTCTGAAAGCTTGTATTCTGAAATAATATCTCACTATTGTTGAGATATATCTGAACTAGCCTTGACCTAGTAGGCTTACGTGATCCTCCTGCCTCAGACTCCACAGTACTGCTGGGACTCCAAATGTGCGCCACCATGCCTAGAAACTACTGCATTACTTTAATTCATTAAACATTCATCATGTATAAAAGGCATTCATGCAAGAGTTGCATTTTCCAAATGCTTAATATTATTTTATAAAATGCCCAATTAACTAGATTCTAGTATACCATAAAATCTGACCTCCATTATAAATTTCTGTAAGAACTTTATATTTTCTTCATTTCACTTATTAAAAGCAAACTGTGCAATGGAGGAAATAATAAGTACAATATGTTATCCACTTCCAAATGAACTCAACCCGCATTTTAGACCTTGCTATAATAGTCTTCTTTGTTGTTTTGCTTTTCGTGATACTGAAGATTGAATCCAGGGGTGAGTTACATTCTCAGCTCTACTGCTCCCTTTATTAAAATTTTGAGACAGGGTTTTGCTAAACTGTCAAAACTAGCTTTGAATTCCCCTGCCTCAGTCTCCTGATTCACTGAGATTACAGGTATAAGTCTCTGTGCTGGCTCTAAAATAGTCTTCCAAAAATGGGAGTTCATAACTCACTTGAAGCTTATGTATGAAATATGATATGTCAAGAGCTTTGTAATGTTTTGAACAACCAATAAAAAAATCACAAAAGAAAATAGAAAATATTTTTGGATTAATTAATTGAATAAAATAAAAACATAAAATGCAAAAAAAATAAAAAATAAAATAGTCTTCCAAATTCCTAAAAGATACAGTTCAAGTTAAAACACTGTATAACAAAGCATAAACTTGAATTAATATCCCTCTTCCTAAATATACTTCTAACTTCCCTTCTACAAAGTCTTCCAAAGACATCAAACTATCAGGCCTAACATGATAAATAATACTTATATTGTAAAGCAAGCTGAGAACTAAAATAAGGATATGATAGGAGAGACCCAATTTGTAAATACACTTATTTTCAAAATTGCTCACCTGCTTTCTTCAGCTTTGATCATGGCTATTAAAAAGAAAAAAAAAAGTTACCTACTACATATTTTTAAAATATAATCTCAGAGAACAAATGTTAAAAGAGAGAAAAGTGTAATAAAACACGATTTAATTTACCATCTGAAAAAATAAAAATTTAAAAATCACTTTTACAGAGCAAATGCTTGTTCCAGTTTCAGAACAACAATAATGAAAACAATTTTAAAAAAGAGCAGTTATTAGGAGAGCTTACACTCTGCTGCTATTTTCCCAAATGCTGTTGGACTTGCAACAAATCCCTGACAATTTTCATAATTCTGGAATACAATAGTAGATTCCCCCAATCATTAAACTAGTTTGACTTTTTACAAAAGACAACTAAATCCAAAATGAAATCAAACTTATGAAATTCCAGCATATTTTTTATACTAGCATTGACAAGTAGATACCTAGCTATGCACACCAACTATCTGTAGTAGGGTTATATGACAAATGAGCTTGATATTTCATAAATGGAAATCTACCCATCTACAACATTATTATTAAGCAATATTAGTATAGGTAAATTAAACTAAGCTTTGAAAATTTTATTTTTCATTCTTGTTGAATTTTTTTTTTTTTTAAACCAAAGATTGAACTCAGAGGAACTTGACCACTGAACCATATCCCCAGTCCTGTTTTGTATTTTATTTAGAGACAGGGTCTCACTGAGTTGCTTGTTTAGCTCCTCACTTTTGATGAAGCTGGCTTTTGAACTCATTGTCCTTCTGCCTTAGCCTCCCAAACTGCTGGAATTACAGGCATGTGACACTGTGCCCAGCTGAAGTCAATTTTTAATTTGGTAATAAAAAAGGTTAGTCCATCACTATGGAATGAGGTGCACCATGTAAGTGATGATATATGTGTAATTGTTTCTGAAAACATTTTTAACACATATTGCCCTTTGAGGAAACCGTTTCTGAAAATCTGTTTAAGGATATCTGAGAAAATGTAATAAGGGTTATCATTGGAAATACCAATTAACATTTTCTGATACATAATTTCATATGACACTTGGAAAAGGTTAATGTACTTCAGATGATGTACTTTTAACAAAATTTTCTATTCTTTTTGTTCAGATGTCATTCCACATTGCTACCTACTTTACTATGATCTGTACCTTTTAGCCTCGTTTATAACACAAGAATCTATCACAAAGAAGAGTAAAGTAAGTAAATTCTAAATTCTTATTCATAACCTCTGTATGTTGAAAAATTGTTCTATAAGTGAAATGTGATATTCAGTTTACCTTAATTCTTCCATAATAAACATTATCAATGCTATTTTACAATGATATGTTAAAATAACATCAGCATTAAATGTAAATTGATATTAAAAGTTCTCAACTGTCTTCTACAAAATGGGTAAATCACGTGTTCCATGTATGCACCAACATTCACAGTGGAATTTAGAAAGTTTGTTATGTGAGATCTTTGTTAAATTTTTCAAGACTAATGACTTTTAAAAAAAAACCCCAATATTTCTTTAAAAGCTTCAAGCTCATTTATAATATAACCCTTAAATGAAAGTAATTCTTTTGAAATTAGAGATATTTCACTGCAGATTTATCCAATAATGGTTAGTGAACATTAGTGACATAATCTAAAATTGTTAAATATGACAGAAAATGAATTATCAAAGCAGCTCACCATGCAGGTTTGATTTTGTAATAAGACCTCCAGCAACAATGGTATTCTGGTATCCTAGTTTCAGTGGAATCAAATCAAATAAAAATCTATTTAAAATCTATAGAACTGACATCTAGAGCAACAAGAAAATAAGAGCCCATAAAACTGTTATACCATTTAATATGTACTAATCATTTTATTTAAAAAAAGGGTGGGGTCTTCGGTAAGGATTGTTTTAAAATGAACGATATATGTGTATATATATGTAACAACTTTATATTAAATATTATTTTTTCATGTTTTACCTTCAAGATCCTCAAGTTCTTTAGGTTTAGCCCAGCGTGATTCTTTTGTTTGAGAATTATAATAGTAAGGTTTTCCAGAATCAGATTTGTATTCCTTCCAGGGGCATTTAGATAACAATTGCTAAAATGGGAAAAATAACTTTCAGATAATGCATTCAAATCATTGATAATTCCCATGACCATTTTCATTAAATATAATCAACCTCTGCAATTCTAAAACTTGCGACATGACAATAATACGCTATCAATTATTGAATATTTGAAAACTGATGTTATTTGAATATATTATTTAATCTTCACAATATGCTACAAAATGCTACTATTATTCCAATTTATAGACTAGTACTCAGAAGACAACAACCTGTTTACATTATTATCTATTAAGGAGCTGGGACAAGATTCAAAATCTGGCATACTCAAATTTCAAATTCTGTGTGTTCTTATATTTACATCTTAACATGGGTAAAAATTACCATCCCTATTTAATAACCAAGGCTTTTCAAAACTAATCCAGGCAGGAAAACCACACACCTTGGGGAAAAGAAAAATGTGATTTAGTCATGTTTAAATTTCAGTTTTTTTAAAATTCTGTAATGGAAGTAGAAGAAACCAAAAAGGAATATCAACAGCAAAGGAAAAAAATTTAAGTACAACTGCAAGTGCCAGACTGGCTCTTGTTTTATTAGCACTCCAGAGTTTCTAATTAAACCACATGTAATATGGTTACTCGGTTTATTCCTTCAATCTTGACTCTTACTGCTGTCTCTGTATATTATAAATAATAAAATTTACAACACAAAATGAAATACACATTTCAGGGCCATTTTCGGCAAAACGAAAATTTATCACTCCAAGGACATGAAGTGTTTCTGGGTAATTTAATTTCATCTCCATTACCTCAACTCTTCTGAAAATTTTAAGAACTCTACTGTAGAGCCGGGTGCAGTGGTGTACACCTGTAATCCCAGAGGCACAGGAGGCTGAGACAGTTGGAGTTCGAGTTCAAAGCCAGCCTCCGTAATGGTGAGGCACTAAGCAATGCAGTGAGATCCTGTCTCTAATTAAAATACAAAAACAGTGCTGGAGATGTGGCTCAGTGGTCGAGTACCCCTGAGTTCAATCCCTCGTACCAAAAAAACCCAAAAAACTCAGTAGAAATCATTCAAAATCACTTTTACTACGAAAAGGAAGAAAATTTTAAATATGAACTAAGAAAATAAAGGGAAAAGAAAGAAATAGCCTTCACCCAATTCCAATTTATTGTCTGAATCACCTTTCTAAATAAAGGCAAAATTAGTATATAAAAAGGATTTTTTGGGGGGCTCTTCTTGTTGATTTGTGTGACTGTATTAAAAATCCTCTTTTTTGAGTGCCTTTACAGACCATCTTATACAAATATTATTCCTCTTTGGATAGCCAAATGCAAAATTCTAAAAAAACACATGTCACAGTCTACTTAACAGTCCCTGATTCTATGCCTCAAACTTTACCTCAGCTGGTGTTTTAAGATCATCTGGCTTTTCCCATGTAGACTGTTTTGTTTCAGTATTGTAGTAGTAAGTCCTTCCATCAGGGGATTTATGTTCAGTCCACATTGATTTCTGAAGGAAAAAAATTACAAAAGATGAAAATTATGTATAATGCATATGACAGTATGCATTATTAGTTTCAAGGCAATGAATTAAGTACCAATTAAAAGTTTTGAATGGCTTCAATAGACGAATGGATAAAAAAAATGTGGCATTTATACACAATGGAGTATTACTCTGCATTAAGAAATGACAAAATCATAGAATTTGGAGGGAAATGGATGGCATTAGAGCAGATTATGCTCAGTGAAGCTAGCCAAGCCCTAAAAAACAAATGCCAAATGTCTTCTTTGATATAAGGAGAGTAATTAAGAACAGACTAGGGAAGAACAGCACAAGAAGAAGACCATCATTAAACAGGGTTGAGAGGTGGGAGGGAAAGGGAGAGAGAAGGGAAATAGCATGGAAATGGAACGAGACCCTCAGGTTTATACAAAATTACATACAAGAGGAAGTGAGGGGAAAGGGAAAAATAATACAAGGGGGAGGAATGAATTGCAGTAGTGGGGGTAGAGAGAGAAAGGGGAGGGGAGGGGAGGGGAGGGGGGATAGTAGAGGATAGGAAAGGCAGCAGAATACAACAGACACTAGGATGGCAATATGTAAAGCAATGGAAGTGAAACTGATGTGAATCTGCAATCTGTATAAGGGGCAATATGGGAGTGCATAACCCACTTGAATCAAAATGTGAAATATGATATATCAAGAAATATGTAATGGAGGGGTAAGACAAGATAATACAAATGGAAGAAATGATTTACAGTAGAAGGGGTAGAGAGAAAAGGGGAGGGGAGGGGAGGGGAGGGGGGATAGTAGAGAATAGGACTGACAGCAGAATACATCAGACACTAGAAAGGCAATATGTGAATCAATGGAAGGGTAACTGATGTGATACAGCAATCTGTATACGGGGTAAAGTTGGGAGTTCATAACCCGCTTGAATCAAACTGTGAAATATGATGTATTAAGAACTGTGTAAGGTTTTGAACGACCAACAATAAAAAAAAAAAAAAAAAAAAAAAAAAGTTTTGAATGGGAAAATTCAGTGTAAGTCATTATTAAATCTGTCCAAGAAAGTAGAGAGAAAACTGAAAACCAGAATATCTTAAAAGTACTTCAAAAGCAGCATATATCAATTAAGGTTTTAGGATCTCTCTCTTCCACCAGAATTACAAATATACAACAACTAAGAACAGTGACATTTAAACTGCTGAATATAAGACAATTCTTGAGCAATACAAATCTATGTCTTTTCAAAGAGTAAATGAAGTAGATGCTGTTTTAAATAAGTGGATTGGTCATATTTTCTACTCTGAGAAAAAACACACCAACTTGAATAGAAATTTTAATGGGCATGCCACAAGAACACAGCTCTCAAAATTGGAAAAAAAGATTGTTAAATTCTGATTGTCATCCAAAAGCCGATCAATAAGATGAAATTTCACAGGGATAAAATTGAACCCAAATGCCACAAAACCATAAGATGGGCAAGATAAAATTTTATCTGAAACTTTAAAATGGAATATAAATCTACTTTTTATAAGGGGTCAAAGAGAATTACTAATAACCTGCTAAAATTAGCTAATGAAATCTCAATAATTAATACACTTTGATAAAAAAGTTTTATAAGTTATCATGAATGAATGAATGATTGTATGCTACCAAAAGAAGTGGCTCCACTCCTGGACACCAGATTTTTCAAATGGTATAACAAATCTGATCTCGATGAAGGAGGGATATCAAGATAGTATTTATTTTTTTAAATCTAAAACATTAGTATACATTCCCCTAAGAAATAAAATCATTCACATTATCATATGCTGGTTTTGTGTATCATATTTTACTTAAAACTTATTGAAAGACTGATTCTTATCACTTTTATGCATACATAAAAAGGAAAACAGGCAAAATAGTTAGAGACATTCCTTTAATCTTCTTCACTGAAAGACCACAGTTAAATCAGCTGCTGAGGTTCATTATATATAAAACAGTACCATCCTGTGGCATCAAGAGTATGGTAATTATCCATTTTTAAAATTTATTTAGTTATTTATTTTTGGTACCAAGGATTGAACCCAGGAGCAATTATCCACTGAGCCCCATCTCCAGCCCTTTTCATTTTGAAACAGAGACTAAAGTTGTTTAGGTCCTTCCTACACGGCAGAAGCTGGCTCTGAACATGTGATCCTCCTGCCTCAGCATCCCAAGCCCCTGGGATTACAGGTATGTGGCACCATGCCTGGCTACCTACCTCTTTCAAAAAATTATAAGTGAAAAACACTGGTACTGATTCTTAGCCTTCTTTTGTATATATAAAAAACTCACAGCCACCCTCGCTGCAATCAATTTTATTAAGAGCTGACTGACTTAATCTTTGCTCTGAGAATGTGGCTGAACACATGTGATATACAGCTTTTGCAATTTTATTGCCCATAGTCATTTTATTTTTAGCTGAGAGTATTGTACCATTACTTTTAGATTTTCTTACAGACCACTGACATCCACTCTCAATGTTGGCATTTTTGCTGTTCACTCACACAACTGGTCAAAACTGCTACCTAGATGATGGAGGTCATAAGACAGCCTGGATTATGTCATGCACCATAATTTCACAGGTTTGAAAGAGTACAATGAAATATGCTAACTGAAAATTAGATTAAAAAAATTACAAGTTAAAGAACCAAGAATTAATGACTTAATATGATCATAACAAGATGAAGTAAAGTGTTTATTTTCTATTACATCTGAAAACAGAACTAGTGTGAATGTAGAAAAAGTATTCATATGCAGTAGAATTCAAAGAAAAGTTCATAGGTGCCAGAAAATATTTGGCTTTCTGTTATTTACCTACATTAACATTTCTTCATCAAAAGGCAATACAATCAGAGACAAGCACATGGAAAATACGCCTGTATGAATAATGCTTTATTTAATAAATTAAATGGTGTTAAGATAAAGGTGTTTGTGCTCTTTAAAAATTTTAAATTTAATACACTAAGTAGCATCTCAAAATTGGACTATATAAATTCAGGTTGGTATACCATAAATTCTCAAACTACATTAAAACTTTCCAAGTCACATTTGTTAAAGGGTATCAAGGAAAAGTATAAACATAATATAATGAAAAAAGTAAGGGATGGTGTATAGTTGACCAAATAATGTGGAGACAGAAAAGTGGTGTACAAGCTCATAAAATAAAAAATCAATTTGGTATTCATTATCTAATTACTTTATTTAAATCCTACAGCTACAATACAACACAGGTATAACCACTATCTTCATTTTATAGGTAAGAGAATGAAGGTTTAGAAAGAACTTAGAAAATAAATGACTGTATTAGGAGCAACTCAATCATATTTTGCTCTAAATACTACATTTTAATGACCCTGACATAGTTTCAAGTATACTACCTATATAGAAAGTCTCTATCATAAGGACAAATTCCTGGTCAAGTACTCAGTACTAGGCTCATTGTTGTTTTTACATTAACTCTCATTTAATTATTTTCAAAACCCTATGAGGTAGATACTATGCATTTGTCATATTAACATATGAGAAAACAGAGGCATAGGAAAATAAAGTAACACACTCAAGATAACAAAGCTACTAAATTCATTATAATATTGTCCCTGCTAAGATACTATTTTGGAGCAAGACTTCAACTACTGACATCAATAGAAGCTCAGTCACTTCAAACAGAAACTGCAATTATGTATCTTTAATAACATACAAAATATCATTTATATAAAAGTTAAGCTTAAAGTGAGAAAAATGAGTTAGCTGTTAAATTTTTTTACTCATAATAGCCTGTCTTTAAAAATCTAATCTATAATTTAAAATTATATTCATAGGATAAAATATGACTCATAAGTAGTTTCTAAACAATGTTGGTTATATTAATATAGTCTATTCATAAGATAAAATGAAAACAAGTTATGCTAATTACAGAAAAATTCTTATTGTTCTACAAAATTATTATTTTATTAATCACAATCAGTCTCAAATATAAAGCAAACTCCCTACAAAAGACACCCTGATCTTGCATAATCAGGGAAAACTTGACTTGGATGATTATTCTGAAAAAGCCAATGCCAGAAAACTGAGTCTCTGTGGTGTTACAGAAGTTAAGCTATTCCTCAAACTGGAGTTTTTGCATTATTCTGCACTTTTGCCACAGATGAGACCATTACCCAAATATTTATTTTGTTAGCAATAAGACAGGATGGCAGTTCTGGGAATCAATCAAAAGTAAACATTTTTTAACCAAGATTACTCTAGGAGGTAATCTGCAAATTAAGAAATACAATTGAGAACTGTTATTATATAATGTTAAAAGGATAATCTCTTATGTTACTGTTGGGAATGAAACAAGTATAAATTATCTGAAGGGAAATTTAGCAATACTTAGCAATACAGAAAATGAAACCAACCATCTCCCAATCCTAAAACTTCACTCTGCAAAGCCTAATTGATAATACTGTAAACATGTGCAAAGATGTTTTCTACAGGAATTGTGAGAAACTAGAGATAAATCAATATCCACCTATTAAAAAACAGACCAATTAAAATAATCCATTCATACTATCAATATATCCTATTATAATATAATGAGGAAATGTCTAAGATAAAATGTTACCAAATGACACTGTCCAATACATAAAAAAATTCAATGAAGTAGACAGAAAATTGGGCAGAAGAAAAACACTTATATAATACCTGCAACAATGCTAATACATTTTTAAGCTTCAGAAAAAAACTAAATACAAAGAGAGTGATGAAGAAATTTATACATTCAAACTCAACTTTGTATGTGTAAGAGGCAGACATTTTTATACATATCATAGTTATAAAATGTATAAAATAAATGTAATAAAACTAAGGGAAAAACATTGCTAAACCAAATCATTAAATAGGAAACAAATGCAAAACCCCTTACTATCTTAGGTAAAGAAAAAGAAAGAAAGAAAACAAGCATTATAATTGAGGAAGAACACAATCACAGACATTTCAAA